AGAATCACCATTGTTTGTTGTGTCATCTGAATCTTCATGATGCCAAAGTCACAGAGCCCAGCCTAATGAATATGGCAACCCTCCTCTTCCCAGCAGAAAAGCATATGTCCTTTCAGGAAATAACTCAGTAATTCTCGTTTGCCTGGCAGCATTCAAGATGTAGGGTTAGGATTCAGAGGCATGTGGCCCTATTTCATGTGTGCGCCAGCGTAACCACTGAGTCGATTTTCAAAAAGCCTATTTTGTGCTCAAAATAAAAATGGGGGAAATGTGGTTTTAAATAGTTGCTGTAAATAAAATGGCCATTGATCCTTAATAGCTCCCTCTCAGCTTCTGACCTATAAATCCTAAGCACATCTATTTACAGAGCCCTACTAAACCTGCATATTAAACACATTCCTATAAAATATTTCTTTAAAATGAACCCTCCTTTCCTGTTCTCCATTTTCAGATTAGATTATCACCATGTCCGGATTATTTAAAACAATGAGGAAATCACACCTCACTGTAACTGGATCTTTTTAGATCCAGTTAGACATTGTTAGATAAATGTTAATCCTGGAATGGCAGATTTGTGTCTCAGCATGGGGTGAATCAGTCCAAAGACCCTGATCCCGCAATTGACACGCTGCTGTCAGACCCTTTCTCCCATACACAGCTCCCTTGAAGTCCGTGGAGCTCTGCATAGGTGCAGGGATCTACTTGCTTACACTCTGAGACTTATGGGATTGGCCTCTCTTTTACAACAACAGCAGCAAATGTCAAAGCAACACATATTTCTTTTAACACAGATAACACAACTACTACCACAAAGTCTGAAGATGGACATTATGCAAGAACGGATTATGCAGGTAAGATTCCTATTATAATATCAGTAAAATTAGAAGTACAATTGGCAAAATCTGTGGGGAGAGAACACTTTCCCCTATGTCTGCAAAACTGTAGGTGTCGTAATCCTTAATTTTTATTTTTTTTTACTTACTTATTGGCTATGGAAAAAATGTTTTGTGGGGTTTTTTTAATCTGAAAACTGCCTCTCTTTTTATCAAATGTCTCATCATCACTAATATACAAACACTCTGGGGCCAAAAAAAAAAGTCTTTATTGACAGTGAGACTAGTTACATTGCAAAATGCTTGCCCTGGCAGCAAGCATTGGTGGAAATCAGTACAACTTTCACACTGAACCAAATATTGCAAATTGTTGTCAGAACACCTGAATATGATTAAGTGAAAACCAATAGTTTTGTATAGCTCCTCCCTAGAATAGAATAGCTGCTACGTCATCAGATGCTGCTATAATTGATATTATGTCTGTGTTTGAATGTAAAGTTAATACGGTATTTATAATAGATTTTTAAAAATGATAAATGGCTTTAATTTATTTAGAAGCTCCACTAAAAATTAATGGCTACGTAGCATGATATAACATTTTAAATTAAAAACATGTAAATGTTATGTAGGGTTTATCGAATTTTGTTTTGGGTGAGCATCTTTCTTTTTCAAATCTTCTTACTAGGAGGATTAATTTATGAGTAGCTATTGTGCAAATATTCACAGCTTGGCTTTAGAACTGTGAATAGAAGCATTTGGAGTGTTCCTGTTAAAAATGTGGCAAGCAATGTATAATTGCTTAAGCTTGTGTTGCTTTTGTATTGTGAAAATAGATCTTTACAAGGGAGTACTGTTGAGCTACAAAGCTCTGAATGCCAGGTTTACCCCCACCGATATGCTGTGCAGTGAAGATGAAACACTGTTTATCTCTTGGTGGTTTATAATTTCTCCTAGTAAAATTCTATAAAACTTTTTATTAAGCTGAAGTTACAATAAAACGTTAAAAGTACATCATACGTTACTTATTCAAGATCAGATTAATAGCCAGAACCTGGCTAACGATTCTGGCTTACTGGGTGGGAAGCGCTCCTCCTCTGCATATACTAACAAGGTTGACAATATTTCAAACGATCTACCCTCTTTTTGGTGCTTCCCTTGTGTATGTACTTGGTATGAAACTTTTCCATCATAAGGAGAATTGTTACTGTACCACAATTCCATAGGAGGATGGTTCACATTTTTTCAGTTGTGTGCAATACAAAGTCTAGCAACTAACTATAAAAATAAATTAATTTGTCATTTGTTAGAAACGTAGGTCCTTTACTGGCTCATTAAGTAAGCAGGTCGGGGGATCTCTAGGAAGTTGGCATTTTGTCAAAAGATGAATCTCTTTAATAATTTTCTTTCAAACCCATCTAATTCCTGGACACAACCACCAGATGTGCATGTATGTACCCTTTTCCCTGCAACTCTTCCAACAGAGTGCCTCCCTAGTAGCAAAAAATATGATGTATCTTAACTGGAGTCAAATGAAATATTTCATTAAAAAAATTCTTTGAGTAATACAAACTGAAGATATGTACATACAGAGACACACGCATTAGATCAATTTCTTTATCCAAATTACTCTCTCACCTTTTCATCTGTATTGTTTTCTTATCAACATCTTTTTCAGTCAAAATTGTATATATCTTAGAAATTAAATCTTTTGTTCCAACTTGCTCCTGGAACTCCTCAAAAGTGGTTAAAGGTCTAGATAAAATCTACCTTGTAAATATTGAAAATATGGGCTCTTTATATTATTTACACTACTGCAAATCTCTTGATATATTTTCAAATCTGGACCCAAGAACAGCTGTCCAAATTGAATAATATCAGTTCCTACCCACAACAAATAGTCACTTTGATATTTCCGAGGGATAAATTCCTGATTATTAATAAAAGTAGCTAAGGGAGAGGGCTTCAGCAACAAGAATTTAGAAAATTGGTCCAAAGCTACTTGGAATGTATGTTAGAAAGTGCTCACTGTTCATTAGTTACCAACTGGTAATCTAGGGTGAGGATGCATACTGGGTGGTTATTCTATGTGGACAGTAAGCCACACATTTAGAAAATGTTTATTCCATTCCAGTTTTAAAAGTGATGTATTGAGATTTAAAAAATATACAGGGCCAGATTATGGTCCAATGAGCTAAAGGAGGACTGGTTAGTAACCGTAGAACCTAAACAACACGAAGGGAGGACACAGTGAGTTCACTTTGGTAGAGAGGAAGCCAAAATGTACCATGCCCCATATCTTCTCCATTATCAAGGAGCTTTTCCAAGAAGGACGGGGGGAGGGGAGGGTTAAAAGGAAAACTCTCCAGAGTCATCCCCGAAAGCTTTGATTGATGCAAGCTTTTCCCTCTAAGTTGGCAATCGGTTTTCTTAAGACACAGGCGGGGCTGAGGTTGTATCTTGTGACAGGTGGGGGAGACAGCAAAGCTGGGCTAAAATGATTTCTTTTAAATTAGAAATAAGGACAAGCAATATTGTTGTGTTAAATCCTCTATTTTCCTTGTTTGATACCTGAAGAGAGCGGTGAGAATTAAGCCCTGCGGCTCCTTTTAAAATGGTGTGCTAGCCTATCCCAGTCTGCTAGCCTTGAGTAATTTAGCTTTAGGATGGCAGTGAACCACATGACCTGATGTCTGAACAAAAGAAGTGTATTTAAGTAAAAACCAGCTCAGCTGTAACAACAAGGGAAAGAGATGGAGGAAAAAGAGGTTGAGGATTAGGATGAGGGGGGAAATAGCAGTGACAGCAAGGGAGAGCGCCATTCGGAAGGAGGTGTGGTTGTGGGTGGGGGTCATGGTGGGGGGAAAAGGGAGGACCACAGAAGATACTTTTGAATCAGAAGCAGAAGGGAGACCAACGGCTAGATGTTGGTTAGGAAAGTCATGATAATTTCCCTTTGGGGAGCACAGAAATGGGGTAGCAATCCTGAGAAGAAAATCAATAGCAGCAACAAATTGCTGGAGTTTAGAGGACAGGTTAGAGATGATGAAGAAGGTGATGCTGAATTGTTTTGCAGGAGGCGGGGCAGAATTGAGGCAAAAATGAACAAAGTGGTATTGGAGAAGGTCTGTGAGCATCAAGAACTGCAGAGAATTCTGTGAGGATACTAGAGTGAACGTTACAGAAAGTGGAAGGGACGGGGGTCAGTGGAAAGGAGAGAGCAGTGATGTCCAAGGAGAGAAGAAGATCAATAAAAGAGTCATTTTCCTCACGGGCAAATCTTCTGTAGTATCCCAGAGCAAAAGAAATAAGGTCACGGCGCTTCAGCTCCTACATTGTTCCAACTCCCCAGAAGTCATGCACTGAATCCGAGTCCCTATATTGGTGGAAACGGAGGGGATGTCCTATGTCATAGCTCTCATGCAATAATATTTATCTAGCTATAATTCATAACTAATCCCTGGTGGCTTCTTATCTGATTTGAAGCCATATGGGTTCCAGATGATGACCTGCCTGTTAGGGTAGGTCCTTCACCAATGTAATTTGGTGTAGTTTCATTGACTTCAATGGAGCTACACCAATTTACACCAGCTGAGGATCTGGCCTCTTTTCTGTACTTAAATCTATTGTTTAATTTCCAATCTCTACATGTGGTAACTGAGTTTTGCTAAACTTGTAGTTTGAAATCTGGTAAGTTCATACAGAGCAACCCATATAACTTCAGTTTTGCACAGTGCTCATGGAGTAATCGCCATTGAAAACTTTAGATTAAAGGAATCATTTAGAAAAATATCTAAAGCCCTTGGTAAATTATTAGTCAAGATGGAATAAACTGAAATAAAACTGAGGTTCATTGGCAGTTCAGGCTTCAGTTTTAGAACCACTTACAGGACTGTATACGACATGCATTTCTCACGTTCTTTAACGTGCATTGCTGTTTGACTATATGTTTAATGATTATTTTAGGGATATTCTGGTACAGTGTGTGTTTCTGTACTTCCTCAGAAGGGGAATGCCATATTCCTCATTGGGCTGATTTTTATGTGAAGAAATATTACTTCCTTCATCACAGTATCTCTGAAATAATACATGCAAATTAATGAATCCAGGGCTTTCAATAGAAATCCCTTTACTATGCCTAGTATCATTGGGCACCTATGAGGCCTTGTCTATATTGCAGAAGTGTTGCAGGTATTGGGGTATAGCTGTATCGGCATAGCTATACCAGCAGTGCTCCCCCTAGTGTAGACACAGCATATCCAAAAGGAGTTTTTCTGCCAGTGTTAGAACACCACTTTAGTGATGGTAACAGAAGTACTCTTCTGTCAACATAGTTGTGTCTGCATCGGGGATTTTGCTGGCTTAGCTATGCCAGCTAGGGAGTGCGGGTTTATTCACACATAGCTGTGCTGACAAAACTTTGTATTATGGGCCTGGCCTGAGACAGAATTTCATGCCCACTTATAAAAACTATGAATCACATGAATTGACTTTACCAGGAAGAAAGGGAATAGGGGAATAATTGGTATTGTCCATTATATTGATCCTAACACTGCAAAATGCTTTCTGTAAAAGATCTGGTAACTAAAGGGACGCAGGTAGTTCCCTTTGCATGCACACATACAGTCTCCAGAGTACAGTGGTCTTAAAGGATCACCTGAACAATCTCTAAGGTGCAGCTATATTTTTCATACTAACCTTTTAATATTGTACATTTATTCACCATACTTGCTTACTAATGTTCTTCTTTCAAACCACAGTGATTTTTGTTAATACATTTATGTCCTTCACTGTTTACAAAACTGAAAGTTCACTTTACCTGGAAATGTAAATCTATCCATGGATTTGCTATATTTCTTTTTTTCTGTTTGTTTTTTTCTTTTAAGGATCCCATTCTACACAGATAGGTTTTGCTCTGAGAAATGGACATGGATAAATAATTTAAGATAAACAAACTAATGACAGAGTGCATCATTTTCACCAAAACTAAAATATGCATTGGGGAAAGAGTGTCTGTGAGCTAGCAAGCAGATGTGAAATTCATTACTTTCTCAGGTGCTTCTCTTACACCAGCATCCAAAAGCCCACAGCTTTTACTTGACTGTCACTGCCAGCTTTGCATTCTATGTGTGCCTGTCTGTATTCACGCACACATCCCTCTCATTTTTAATAGGACACTAAGGGATTTTTTTACTTGTATTGAGAAATTGTCATCTTTTTGGCAAATTTCAAATGCTAGCCATTTTGGCAAATTTGAAAAATAGTTTCTTAATGGTTTTTTTTGGGGGGGGAGAGGGGGGAGAGAAGGGAATTGGTGGATTTTTTTTTCCCTAAACCAACTGGCAATAAATTTATTTCTACAACTCAGAAGCTACATTTTAAAATACTGTAAGGAGGTGTGTGTGTGTACGCACACATGCGCGCACACACACACACACACATATATATAGATAGCTAGATAAATTAATTCGTTGAGTATTTAAAAATATAGCTTCTAAGTTGTGAGTAGGGCAGTCAGTGTTTCCTTGAAATTCCATTTTGTAGGTTGGGAAGGCCTGCTCTTCGTATACATTGATTTTTTTTTTTTGCATATCCTCGTACCTTTTTTAAGCCCAGGCTGTCAAGCTATTTTTATTATCTAATTTTTGTTTCTTTACCCTCCACTGTTTATAACGGCCTCTTAGAAGCTGGGCATTAGCAATTATGCCTGTACTGGTTTTATTCTTTTTTTCATTGGGCAAACACCATTTTTTTTCCAACCCACCTGTGATCACTCTGAAGACTATCCCAATATGGCTGGGCCATTTTCAGTGTTATGGTTCACTAGAATCATTAGTGATAACATTGATAGTTTTAATACAGATGTGAAAAATGATTTGTTAATTAATAGTCACTCCTTACTCAGGCAAAAATCCCCAGATAACCATTGATCAGGCCTTGAGTGTTTGGTTCTTCAGGGGCTCGATACAAAATCCATTGAATTCAATGAAAGTCTTTTCACTGACTTCAGTGGGCTTTGGATTGGACCCCAAGAGAAGAGAAAAAATGTTATTGAACTTATACCTAAAAAAGTCACTACTGTTTTATTCTTAATGTCAGGGACAGTATACTAGGAATTCAGAGGGTATTCCCCCACCAGATTATAACAGTTTTAAAGTACATCAAATTTTACCGTAAACTACTTGACAGTGTCCCCTTTTTAAATTAAATTTTATATAGACTTCCATGTCATTCATTTCCTAAAATCCTGGAGAATAATATAGCCCTACAACTTTGTTCTGAAATACAAGCTATTACGTAGTTTTTGCTGTGCCTTTGCAAACCAGGCATTCCTGTCTTCTTTAAGGAATAAGCAAGTGAGTCATACAGTATAGGGTGACCAGATGTCCCGTTTTTAAAAACACAGTCCCGTATTTAAGCACTCCTACAGGTGTCCCGACTTTTTCTTAAAAACAGGCAAATTGTCCTGTATTTTCTGTCTCCCCCCTCACCATCAGTACCGGCGGGTCCTGCTGCTGGCCAAATCCCGGCTCACCGGCCGCCCGCCAACCAGCGGTGAGTGGGGGAGTCCAGTGGCCAACAAGAGGGGTGGGTGTGCAAGTCTGTGGTGGGGCAAAGCTGCTGTGGTTGGGGCCGGACGCTCCCCCTGCCGGTCCATCCGCACAGCCGCCGCTGCATGCTGGCTCTCGGCCACCTCCGGAGCTGTGGTGGCTGGTGAGTGTGGGCAGGTGCCAGGCGGCAGCCTGTTACATGTCACCTCTGCTGACCGCCCATCGGCCCTTTATGTGGTCCCCCTCTCGCTGTCCTCTCCCTGCTTTGCCCCTTCACACACACACCCAGCCTCCCTCCCCCCGGCAGGGCGTGTCCCGCTCCCAGTACTGTGCAGAGACCCAGCCCCTGGTCAGAGCGCTCAGCTCACCAGCAGCCTGGCCGCCAGGCTCCTTCCTTCCCCCACTGCCTCTGGCTGGGCCAGCGCCCTGGGAAAGGCCAAGACACTCCAGCCCAGGGCACTGGTCAAGAGGAGCCGAGCCCTGCATGTGTCAAAGCCCTGTGCTGCGCTGGCATGAGGAAGTTTCTCTGCTAAGCTCTGGATGGGGTGGGGGAAGGGATTTCCAGCCTGTTCATGTGATGCCTCTGTAGGCTCCACAGCAGCCCCCCCAGGCAGGGGCTTAGCACCTACTTCACCCGCCCCGCCCTGGGTCCTGCCCCCAGGGAGCGCGTGGCTGCTCCGTCCCCTAGGCACCTTCCCTTGCTGAGCCACCTCTCTGGCCTGGTTCACTGAAGCCCCTGCAGTCAGGTTCCTGGGCGCTGGTGCACAATGAATCCTTAGGGCTTAACCCCTTCCTGCCCGCGCTGTAACTGGGGGGACAGGAGGTGGCTAGGTTATGTCGGTGGCCAGCAGCAGCCTGGAGGTGTTAGCTGTCTTCCAACACTGTGTGGGCAGGAAGGGACAAGCTGCTTCAAGCCACAGGAGAGTTGGGGAGAAGAGATGAGCTTTGCAAAAGCATGGGCCAGGTCATCCCTTCCTACTCTCCTGCGGCTGGAGGCAGCTCCTGTCCCTTCCCTCAGTGCAAAAAGGCTTCTGCTGGCTACATTCTGGTTTGAACCATGGCAGAAATCTGGGGGGGGCACATGTGACCCTGCGTACTCCCCCCACACACACGTGTTCCTTCAGGAAGACACAGCACCAGGTACCAGAAGAGGTGGGTCCATCCTGGGGGCCCAGCCAGGCATGGAGGGTGGAGAGCGCCGGACAGAGAGGGTCTAGTCGGTTGGTCACCCCTCCCCACGTGAGAGAGGTGCACGGGAGTGTGTATGTGTCACCTCTCCTCCGTGTGGGGGGGGTGTCACTTCTCCCCATGTGAACCCTAAACCCTTAAAGATAAGAAGGTAAATAACAAGAATCCAACTATGCAGTATTTCTTTTTAACAGGGGCTCAGTCAACTTGATGTTAATTTGAACGTTTGTACTGCATAGCGCTGATTGATTGCCATTGAACTCGCTTGAATACGAGTAATTTTACCAGGTGTCCCGTATTCAGCAAAGAGAAATATGGTCACCCTAATACAGTAGCACACTGTGCCTCCATCATACAGAAGAGTGAAACCTTTCCTCACCTGCAGCTTTAGAAAAAAGTTAGGGAGATTGCATCCTTTCACTTGCAGATCTCTCTGGATTTCCATTTGCATAGGATCTAAGTTGGAGGTGGCCACACACTAAATTAATACATCATTTAGCAAGTTTTGGTGTTTTTCCCTGACATAACTTAAATAATGAAAACACATACAATACCTGGACAGCTGATTAAATGCTGTTTGGCAAATCTCTGGATATATGTACATTTTCCCTGGTATTCAACTACCTCTAATTGCAGTACAAAGGTTCTATAAACTCCATGTGCCTTAAAAGTCAACAACCCTTAAACATTTATTTAAATATTAGTTACATTCACAAGGATATGATTCCATTAAAAAAATCAGGTTTTTGTACAGTGGAACAAAAGCAATGGAAGCCCTTGGTGGAAGAAAAATGTTTTTCAACTTTTTCAGCCTAGTGTAGGCTTTCACCCTAGCCAGACAGGTTTTTTTATCCAATTTTCCTGTAATTTGAGAGACCCAATCAGTCATTGTTTGCTTGGGGTATTTTGAAGACATGGCTGCAATGAGGCAGAGGAGACTAGGAGACCCAGCCTTCTCGTCTCCCCTGGCCCCTGAGGGGAGCTGGAAGTTTGGCCAGCCCACCCCTCTGTCATGATTAAGGAGCTGACAGGCCAAATTTGAGTGGTGCTGTGACACTCCCCCTCCCCCCCTCCGCCCCACCCCTTCACTCAAATTTGACCTCGCTGCCCCTCCATCAGGACAGAGAGGTGGCCAGGCCAAATATGAGCAGCAGAGTAACCCTGTGAACCTGTTTGGCCTCATTCACCTTTTGCAGTCCTTCCTATGTCCATGGGCGCTGGGCATCCCAAGCCCCTGAGAAAAGCGGAGAAGGGGGCACTGATGGGAGGATTAGATCCAGGCTGTTTAGGCTTCCTATGGAAGTGGAGACACAGAAGGGGGATGGGATCTTGGGCTCCAAGAACTGCCTGGCCCCTGGAGGGGATGGTGCTCTTCAGCCTGACCACTTCACTGGGTGTGGGGCAGGAAGACTGTAGGGCTGGGTGCAGCGGGAGACTTTGGAGTTCGGTATGGGGGCAGCAGATAGAGAGTGTGTGTAGAGCTGGTGTGCAAGGGGAAGAGCGCACATCTGGGTGCAGATGCAGCGTGAGAGAGTTCAGGACTGAGTCTGGGGACAGTGAGACGGAGCTCACTGGGGCTGGGTGCCAGGGGAGCATACAGGGGGAGGGAGCTTGGGGCTGGGTTCAGGTGGCGGGGAGTTAGACCTCTGGGCCCCCTCCTTAGGAAAATTCTGGTTGCGCCCTTGTTTGGAGATACCACGTCACATCCCTCCCAGTGTCTGCTGAGTTGTCTGAGCATTCAGACATGTAGCTGGTTACATATAACCTGAGCCTAAAGACTGTGAAGGCAAAATGTATATGCAGAAGACCAGAGCTGAGCTCAGTGCAAATGTAAAAAATAACTTTGCATGGGGGAAGAGCTTCGAATCTGTTTTTTCAGCCTCAGCCAAATTGATCTTGACACGGCCTTCCAGAGTAGGAAAATGAGACAAAGAGCTGGGAGGAGGGGACAGATCTTCTAGAAATTTGAACAGTATCATGAAGAACAAGTACTTACTTTGTAATGAAGGGTTTTGACAGCTATGCACAACCATCCGTGAAATATAGTTACCCACCAAGAAGATGGAGTAGGAGCTACCAGTAACAGCTGGAAAGGAAATTTGTAGACAGATATAATCTTTATCACACAGAGAGACAGAAGAACAAGCAAATGAATAAGACAGCAAAGCAAGGAGAAGAGTATGTTGAAGATTGAAAAGCAGCTAAAGTGGCGATCGCCTGAGCATGTTGCAGCAAGAATCAATGGAAAATGTATTTCCCTTATGGTGGAATAGAGACAAATAGATAGCAAATGCAGAAAGGGTCACAAGCAAATATGATGGAAAGACAAGTTCATAGACTAGGAGGAAAGGATTTTTGGTGACACAATGGTGAGTCATTTGTCTTGAAGTAGACCAAATAAAACTGATGATGATAGCCCAATTTAGAGTCATTCCAGTTTGTCAAGATTATTTATATTATCGTTTAGTTGTACTACAGAAGCACCTAGAGACCACAATTGAGATCAGGGTGCCATCGTGCTGACCACTGCACGTATGCATAGTAAGAAAGCACCTCAGAGAATGTACAGACAAAGGAAGTATTGTGATCTTTGTTTTACAGATTGGCATCTGAAGCATAGAGAGACACTTGCCTGACACACGAAGTCTGTGGCAGAGTTGGAAACTAACTCAGTCCCAGTCCAGCACCTAAACTCTAAGTCTGCTGAGTCCCAGTCCAGCACCTAAACCACTAGCCCAACCGTCCTCTCGTACACACACATATTCAAATGTAAGACTGGCCAATGGTCATTTCAGTCGTCCATCTAGCCCAGTATCCTGTCTCTGACAGTGGCCAGTGCCAGAAACTTCAAAGGGAATGAACAAAACAGGGCAATTTATCAAGTGATCCATCCCATGTCATCCAACGCCAACTTCTGGCAGTCAGAGGTTTAGGAACACCCAGAGCCTGGGTTTGCATCCGTGATCATCTTGGTTAATAGCCATTGATGGACCTATCCTCCTTGAACTTATCTAATTCCTTTTTGACCCCTATTATAGTTTTGTCCTTCACAACATCCCCTGGAAATGAATTCCTCAGGTTGACTGTGTGTTGTGTGAGGAAGTACTTCCTTATGTTTGTTTTAAACCTGCTATCTATTAATTTCATTCAGTGACCCCTGGTTCATGTGTTATGTGAAGGGGTATATAACCCTTTTTCCACACCATTCATGACTTTATACATCTCTATCATATTTTCCCCATAATCGTCTCTTTTCTAAGATGAAGAGTCCCAGTCTTTTTAATTTCTCGTCATATGGAAGCTATTCCATCTCTCTAATCACTTGCCCTTTTCTGTTTCTTACCTTTTCCAATTCTGATATATCTTTTTTGAGATTGGGCAACCACAACTACATGCAGTATTCAAGGTGTGGCAATACCAGAGATTTACATAGTGGCATTATGACATTTTCTGTCTTATTATCTATCCTTTCTCTGTTGGTTCCTAATATTTTGTTAGCCTTTTTGACTGCCGCTGCACACTGAGCAGATGTTTTCAGAGAGCTATCCACAATGATTCCAAGATCTTTCTTGATCAGTAACAGCTAATTTAGACCCCCTTGTTTTGTATGTATAGTTGGGATTATGTTTTCCAATGTGCAATAAATGTGCATTATTTGCATTTAACAACCCTGAATTTCATCTGCCATTTTGTTGTCCAGTCACACAGTTTTGGAAGATCCCTTTGTAACTCTTCGCAGTCAGCTTTGGACTGAGTATCTTGAGTAATTTTGTATTGTCTGCATTTGCAACCTCACTATTAAACCCTTTTTCAAGAACATTTATGAATATGTTGAACAGCACAGGTTCCAGTACAGATCCTTGCGGCGACCCCATTATTTTTCGCTCTCCACTCTAAAAACTGACCATTTACCCTATCCTTTGTTTCCTATCTTTTAACCAGTCACTGTTCCCTTTACAAAAGCCGTGTTGACTCTTCACCAACCTGTCACGTTCATCTAGGTCAGGGATCAGCAACCTTTGGCACGCGGCCCGTCAGGGAAATCCGCTGGTGGGCCAGAACGGTTTGTTTACCTGCAGCATTCACAGGTTCAGCCGACTGCAGTTCCCACTGGCCGCAGTTCGCCATTCGAGGCCAATGGGGGCTGCGGGAAGCGGCGGCCAGCACATCCCTTGGCCCGCGCCGCTTCCCGCAGCCCCCATTGGCTTGGAACGGTGAACCTCGGCCAGTGGGAGCTGCGATCAGCTGAACCTGCGGACACTGCAGGTAAACAAACCGGCCCAGCCCGCCACCGGATTTCCCTGACGGGCCGCGTGCCAAAGGTTGCCGATCCCTCATCTATGTGTTTGATAATTCCATTCTTTTACTTTAATTTCTACCAAATTGCCTGGTACTGAAGTTTGGTTTACCAGCCTGTAATTGCCAGGATCACCTCTGGAACTTTTTTTAAAATCAGCATTACATTAGCTATTCTCCAATCATTTGGTACAGAGGCTGATTTAAGCAACAGGTTACATGCTACAATTAGTAGTTCTGCAATTTCATACTTTTGTTCCTTCAGAACTCTTGGGTGAATACCATCAGGTCCTGGTGACTTATTACTGTTTCATTTATCAGTTTGTTCCAAAGTGTTGTCTATGGACACCTCAGTCTAGGACAGTTCCTCAGATCTGTCACCTAAAAAGAATGGCTAGGTTTGGGAATCTCCCTCACGTCTTGTGCAGTGAGGACAGATGATTCATTTTGCTTCTCTGCAATTTCTTTTGTCTCTTATTAGTTGCTCTTCAAAGTCTTTTTTGGCCTGTCTAATTATAGTTTTACACTTGACTTGCCAGAGTTTGTTCCTTTCTATTTTTCTCAGTATGATTTGACTTCCAATTTTTAAAAGATGTCTTTTTGTCTCTAACCACATCTTTTACTCTATTGTTTAGCCATGCTGGTATTTTCTAATAGTTTAAGTATCTTAACTAATATTTACAAAAATCATTTTTGAAATCTGTTATGCATAATTGAAGAAGCGGAGGGACTCTTAAAAGGAGGGCTGCTCTTTTAATCTACTTCCCAGCAAGAAGTCCCTCAAGGAAGGACCTATTGCAAGATGTTAGTTACACCTAATGGGGCCAAACTCCCATTGTATTCAGTGGAAGTTGGATCAGGTTCTAAAACAAATGCATAGATAGAAAATTGCTGTAACATGATATTGCTTCAGAGAAAACATCACATCTCAGGGCTTAAAAAATCATGAGATTTTTTTAAAATAAATTGTGGGTGTTTATTTGTCTTCTCATTTTTGAAATTTAGAGTGCACTCAGGTCATATTTTCAGACTTTTTTCCACAACTGTGAGGGCTAGATACTTTTAAAAAACATTAAGCTGAGATTCTTATGTAATTCTATGAATCTGGGACCTGCAGTTTTAAGAAAAATATCAAATATCCTGAGTCTCATAATAAAATTGCAAGAGTTGGCAGCACTGATTAAATTGTATAGCTTTTTTTAGGATGAGTTCTATGGAACATTATATAACTCTCTAAAACTCTATTGGTTCTGTCCCTAGTAAGTTCTACATGACTTTTTTGCAAGGGTCGGGGAAAAGCTAAATGGTTACAGTGAGATGCAAGCCCCATGCACAAAGTCCCATGCTTGGAGACAGGCAGTGGCACATGTTTCAGTAATATTTAGTGTCACATTATTTCCTGAAGGGCCTGTAAGACTGAAGACAGACTTATGGAGATTTTAATACAAAACTATAGGAAGAAAGCAGTATTGCTCATTTAATCCATCAACTCTGAAAGTATAGCTCATTTTTTATGAGTGTTCTCTTGTAACTCTGAATTGCCTTATGACAAGCTTATATGTGGTCAAATGCAGTTGGTTGGTTGGTTGTTAATGGGAGACACTGTGCTCTTTCTTTACATAGTGTTGCCCGTTGTTGCACTCATAGATCCTAAAGTTGTGAGCATTAAAACTGAAATTGACGTGTGATCATTAAATGAATTTCCAGACATCTCTTTTCCATAGACTTCTGTCGCTCAAGGAGAGAAGTAATTTCCAATAGGATGTGCTTTTAAAGCTCAGTCCTTAATTTCCTAATTAATAAATTTGGACCATAAGTTACATTGAGTTGGTTTGTGCTTCATTTCCATAATGAGCAAATTCAGCTATGTACTGAATGAACATTGAAATGAAAGCTGTTTGGTTTGTCCACAAGCACGTAGCCTGAAAACAAAATATGTCTAGGCTAATAATTTGATCTGTATGAAATAAACAAACAGCAAATGCAAGCACCAGCTTGTAGCACCAATTGGCATGAGCAGCATAATAAATAAAAGGTTGGACCAGGCTATTATAGTGTCACCAGCTTGCCTGAAATGTTTAAGTCCTGGGAATGAATTAAGGTGTCAAACTTCTTTGAAATTTCTGAGGGGAAATTTTGCAGTACAAGTATTTTTCCCTCTGGGGTTTGCATTAAAGCCGTGCAAGATTCATAAAGCTTGCTACAACTCTGGCTCACAGTTTTTCCACTTCTTTCCTACCACTGTACTTTAGTTGTTTTTTTCCCTATAATATCATGTAGCCAGTCATCTGTAACATTATGTTATGTTAGTGGTTATGGATAAACACAGAGAAACTATATTTGCAATACATATGAGGGTTGTACACAGAACAGCTAGCTAGCCTGAGCTCACGTAAGCATTCCTGCAAATTTCTCCATTTATGCCCCAGTTCATAAATGCATCATGCATCATTTATATATGTTTCTGCTTATTCAAAATGCAGAAATCCCTGTTCTTAAGCAAATTAGAGGCTGTTAATGCTAATCCCTTTTTCCCCCTCTAGACATGTTCAGTGTAAGTATCAGTGCTATGCTCAAGAGAATAAAATAAGCTCAAATCGGGGTAAGGTTTGCAGAAAACTGGACTTTCCCTTCTTGGACATCAGAATTAGACTCAGAGGGTTAAATTAAGTCTGCCTCAATATAACTTTTAGCCTTTTAAACTATTAAAATTATGCTGTGTTTTTAACCAGAGATTCTATTTAAATGTGACATTGGTTGGAGAGGGATGCTGAGAAATAGGGAATGTGG